CCGGCGTGGCCCCTGCAGCAGTCTCAGCTAGCTGGCAATGAGGCGCTGAGGCCCTGTGGCACGCGGGGAGGAAGGGGGCGAAGGAGACACCCCGCAGAACAGAAAATTACTGGTCAGGCCAAATCCAAGTTCAATGGGAAATAATAAATTAGGGAAGCAGTCATAAAAGTACTAAAACTTTGGCGCTCTATTATTATTTTTCATTGCAGCTATCTCTAATGAACAAGGTTTGAAAACTTTTTCCGCCGCCAGGCGCCGCGCGCGCGCTGAGAGGCCGCACCAGGAGGCGGGCGCGGGCGGCGGAGGAGCATTAGGAGCTCCGAGGAGCGCTGGACAGCAGGGAGGCCAACAGGTCGGCAGCGCGGCGGCGGTGGGGCAGCCAGCGGTCAGTAAGAGCGACTGCCGTTCTGCGCATTCACCTACACGGCCGGCCAGGAAAGCGACCTGCGGAGCGTTCGGACAACACGCTGGGCGGGCGACACCGCCACCACCCCTGGCGTCCAGGGTGTCGTGTCGACTTTTACTACCCAGGGCGACCATCTGCATCACCAACGCGGCATCGAGCCGGGCACAACCAACCAGCCACGGGCACAGGCCGGGCACATGCAAGCAAGCACAGCCGGGCACGTGGGCCCAGAGGGCACGCACGGCCGCGGGGTGGCAACGGCGGCGGCAGTGCGTGGGCGGCCAGCGGGGCCACCCACCCCCCGTCCCGTAGCCTTCTTTCAGCCGTCCCTGCGCCACGCTACGCCACCAACTCCCACAACTACCACCACCACAGCAGCAGCAGCGGCAGCAGCAACGAAAACAACACAGCAGCCCCTCGCAGGCCCCCCTCATCCCGCCCCAGCGCCCCGCAGGCCCCCGGGCGACACGGCGTCAGCTGCAGCTGCCCCATAAGTAGCGCTCCCTCCCCTCCACCTCAAGCCGGCCACGCCAAGCCACGCTCCGGCACGACATTTAAAAGCCCGGGGCCGAAAAGGGCCAAGGGGCCCGAAAAGGGTCCACAATGCTCCACCGGGCCCCGTGCGGCGGGGTGCGGCGGGGCAGCGGGACCCACACTCCCCACTCGGTCCACCCCCACCCCACGCGGAGCGCCACGCCACATCGTCACGGTGCTGGTCACAGTGGTGGTCACGGTGGAGGGAGGTCACGACGGTGTGGCACATCACAACGGCTACCCTACCCACTTTCACTATGAAGCTGATTGAGTATGTAACGAATCATCTGGCTATAAATGGTCAAAAGACGATGTGTCGGACGCCCACCGGTCACATTTACGTCCCGTATGCTGAGACTCACGTTTCGAGAGTATCACTCCGCGGGAGACTGGTTCCAGAACCTCGAACCAGTCTCTGCCATCACGCCCCGCCGCCACCAACACACTCTTCATGGCGTCCGTCCCGGCCACGCCGTGCCACGCCGCGCCCAGGCAGCGGTGCGTTTGCGAGTTTGCTCGCATCAAATGTTTGCTTTTCATCAGGTGGGCTAATCAGCGCGCGCCACTGTAAGGGCGAGAGAGAGAGAGAGAGAGAGAGAGAGAGAGAGAGAGAGAGAGAGAGAGAGACGGAGAGGGAGAGGGGAAAGGGGGACAAAAGAAAGAGCGGAAGGCTAAGAGGACTGTGTGGGTGTGTATAGGAGATATGAGAAGTAAATAGGTACGTATCAGTGTGCGAGAATTGTGAGCAGAAGAAACGAGAAGAAAAAAAGGGACGAAGAATACGTCCAGCAAAGGGGAGTGAGTTCCCCGTTCCCCATCGCAGCATCCAGAGATGCGCAATAAGACCTTGGATGTAATAAATATCCCAACTTGAAGAGGCGGTCGTGTAAATATGCTGCCAAATGGAATAAAGGCGCTTACAGTTCAGAGAAACAGCGGGAACAGATCTCAAAGGTCGCCGTCAAAGATGACTGAAGGAAATTGAAATGTTCAGTTTCTTTCAGATTCAGTTGCATCGCAGCACACGCCACGCAGCGCACGGCCGTGAGGCGGGTGGCCTAACCTCCACTCCGCGGGCGCACTGGTCCGGCCCGCGGCGCACGGCCGTGAGGCGGGTGGCCTATCCTCCACTCCGCGGGCGCACTGGTCCGGCCCGCGGCGCACGGCCGTGAGGCGGGTGGCCTATCCTCCACTCCACGGGCGCACTGGCCCGTCCCGCGGCGCACGGCCGTGAGGCGGGTGGCCTATCCTCCACTCCGCGGGCGCACTGGCCGGGCCCGCGACGTACAGCCGTGAGGCGGGTGGCCTATCCTCCACTCCGCGGGCGCGCACGGACAAAATGGTGAAACAAAAGGCAAAATTCCTGCGCTAATAAGGGTGCCGTGCCAGGGCGGTGAGAGGGATTGGCGGCCAGCAGGCGATGCTTTCCAGTAAAAGCCTTTGAAAGACAACCCGCTTTAGCGCCGCCTGCAGGCGTGGCGCGGACTCATAGGAACATAACCCTGTCGGCCTGGTGTGTGAGGTTCGAGGCCGGAGGGGGCTGTGAGCCCCGCACAGCTCCCCTCAGCCTCGAACAGCTTCGGACAGCCTCGCACAGCTCCGCGCAGCTCCTCACAGCTTGCCATAGCCCCGCACAGCCCGCCACAGCCCCGCACAGCCCCGCACAGCCCTGCACGGCCCGGCCCCGCACCACCCTGCCCTGCAGCGAGGAAAGAACCAGCGAAACAAAAGGACCGACCCGACCAGCTAGCTAGAGCCAAAGGACAGAGAAAGAGAACGCGGGGTGGATCCGGACGGAAAAAGGAGAGAAAGAAAGTGAAAGAAAGAGAAAAGTGAAGCGGGAGCTGGGTCTGCTTGTGTAAAGAGAGACGGGGGGCGGAGGAAGGGAAAGAGAGAAGACGGATAGGGTAGGAGGGGTACAAGAGGAGGAGCGCACGGGGGAGTTGGGGTAGGGAAAGGGGGGAGTGGGAGGGGACACAGAGCGAGAAAAAGAGAGAAAGGAGAGAAGGAGGTGATGACGGAGAATCATACACAAATGAAGAGCAGACTTGCGATACGACAGTGCGACGCCAAGGTCCGAGGACACGTAACACGGACACGAGGGCAGGTCTGCCCTAGTGCCCCGGCCCAAGACTGAAGGGACACCCATAGGTCCACATGGGCAGAACTTCAAGAGGGACAGGTGCGTCCAGACGGGCCAGATCTGACTGCTGCAACTGCGCGGGCAGGCCGGCGCCGGCAAACAAGGCCGGCGGGAGGTAAATAAAATGCGGAGGCCGGCAAGGTTAGTAAAATAAAGAGGAGTGCAAGGAGACCAGGGGAGGACGACTGCTGGGAGGGAAACCCCCGGGGTGGCCGAAAGGGGGAGGCGGCGTGGGGACGGGAAGGGCTGCTGCTGCGAGAAGAGTAGTGAAGGGACGGACGGGTACTGCCTGAACCGCAAGCAGTAGAAGAATGAACGACCACACAACGACAGAACGAAAGGTCTGGGCTGGCAGCCCAGCACTAGCTGTCAGTACGGTGCGTGGCGGGCTGCTACAGGGAGCGGCGGGGAGCGGCGGGGAGCGGCGGGGAGCGACGGGGAGCGGTATGATGATGGTAGTGCGAGGCGGGGCGGGGAGTGGCGGAGTGGGGCAGGGCGTCTCTCCTTGTCAGTCTCCTTCCAGGCCGGCTGGCTGGCTGCTGTCGGGCCTGGCTGTCAGCCTGTCACCTCCCCGGTCCACCCCCTCC